TACCCCCTTAAAGTAAAAAAAAATAAAAGGGTATATTTTGACCTTGGCTTCGCTGGTTCATATAAATTACAAATTACCAATTGCCCCCTTAAAGTAAAATAAAAAAGGGTATATTTTGACCTTGGCTTCGCTGGTTCATATAAATTACAAATTACCAATTGCCCCCTTAAAGTAAAAAAAATAAAAGGGTTTATCGACCTTGGCTTCGCTACCGTACTCAGAAGGAGTACGGCAACACAACAAACCGGGGCTGTTTGTTGTCCTACGGTCTCACTGTCCAGCGTTATAATTCGTAGACATAAAATAACATTTATAACACTTAATGCTACTAAACACAATAATAGTTGGGCACAGCTCAATGTTCAGCTTGTCTTTTGTTTAAATAAATTTAATAAAATTTCATCCACCTCAACAGCGAAACAATCAGGTCTTCCTTTTTATTCAGCTCAGTAATGTAGGTGGGTCAAACCACAGATACCCATCCACATGGAGCGATATAGCATTTACATACGGTTACTGGTGGTACCGTCAACCTGTATCGGACAACTCGCACCAGGCAGCCAGTACAATACAGCCAGTACCAGACAGTCAGGACAATACAGCCAGTACCAGACAACCAGTACAATGCAGCCAGTACCAGACAGCCTCTCGGTTTGAGAGGCGAAAAACAACAAGAAACACTTATGCGACCGGCGCCCACAAATCCGCAGCACTGCTCGGCCTTCCCTGCTTCGAAATCACCACGAATGGAAGCCCACGTATTCAACAAAACGAGCCGAGACACGGTAGACTTGTAGACTTCTCTTCACTCTTAGATGATCAGCAGAATAAAAGGAAAGACAAAGCCGGGTTCCGACTTAAATACGATTTCCATTTCCATTCGACTCAAGCGACCTGAACAGCTGTTAAATGAAGCAACTCCGTTTCACGGACAACATACAATGGCTACAAATTTTGACCTTTAAAAATTTAATAGGAAAAATACATAAATAAAATATTTATGTTTTATTGAATTGAAAATAAAATTATAGGACACATGCAAATATGCATGAAAAAACTGACAAAACCCTGCATACAAAGGAATATAACTAGGTGACAACTTCACACTATTGCTTTATTTTCTTAATTCAACGTTCTAAAACCTGAAGTCTGATTTAATAATTTTGTTATAAAAAAGTGAGTTTTCGAAATAGCTATTTATTGTAATTTTAACGAATTGATTATATTCTATAAAGAAGGTCAAATACTACTTAATTGTTATTAAAAATAGGGAAGAGAAATTTAATTTGGAAGAAAATATAAATATGTAAAGGTAAGTTCTAAGGTTAATTACGGCTTTCGGAACGTACACCAAGTGTCAAAATAAATGCTTTGGTGTTTTGTAAACAATAGGTTCAACTTTATTTTGTAAAATTAATAAGGTTATCTCTAATGGAAGCAAATGAGAAAATAGTTAAAGTTATAATTTTGAGACAAACTAATGGTTCTATTTTGTATCTTGGTGGTTGATAGACTGGTAAATAAGAGTGGAAGGTTGTCACCGGTTAAGGAATAATGAAATTAGATTAGTGAAAACAATTTTTATGCCCTAATGGCTTTACCAGAAAAATATGGTAAGTTGACATCCTAAAAACAATGTTTAGAAATCACAATATACTTGAACATTACTAGACAAGACTAATAAAATGTTGTGAAAGTTAAAATAAAACAACATCAAATTTTCCAGTGTTACAGGTGGTGAGTGTTGATTTAGTGCGTTCATTCCTAAAATCCCATCTTTGCACCATAATCGCTCATAACTGCTTGATTGGATTAAGTTCGGGAGATCGAGAAGGCCAAGGCACACTCCTTATTTCCGTTTGCTGGCTAAGCCACTCTTGTACTACATGCGCACGGTTTATGGGACAATTATCTTGAAAAAAAAAAACAAAGTTTGGAAGTTCATCCTCGGATACACCGTGCGTACTGAAGGCTAACTAACTTCCTCCATCAATTCCTTGTATGATTGTCCAGTGGCTCTCCCGTCGATATATGCCAGTTCACCTGGCTGTCAGCACTCATCCAGCCCCACATGTTTACAACGATTCTACCACGATTCTACCAGAATCGTTGTTGGGACGCACATTCCTGGGCTCATATCGCGTACAGTCCATACGCCATAAATTCTGACGACCATGTTCGCTGGACTTAAAACATTTTTCGTCAGAAAATATGGCATTTTCAAAATTAAAATCGCGATAATCACATGCGAACCTAACACGGGCCTCTCTCTGGGCGGGTTTCCTGTGGTGTATACCAGCTTTATGGAGTCCCCTTCTTATGGTCCTCACGCTGCAGTCATATTCAGACGCGAAATGGGACGTTTTAGTGAACGGTTTATCATATCAGATACTCGATATATGTTTATCATATCAGATACTCGTCCAGGAGTTAATATAGACGGTGGATGTGCTCGGGGCCGATCTTCAATTGACCTCTCTGCAGCATCTCGCCGTATCCAGCGGCGAACAGTCTCTCTCTGCAATATTAAATTAGAGTTGTTGTATTTTAATTAAATGATATAAAATCATGTCATGCATAATTTTTTTTTAAGGACAAAATTTGTTCAAGTTGAAGTCACGGTATACATCCTATCACTCTTACGACGCAATTGGTGAAATTGTTACATACTACATTAACTGCATAAAAAATAATTTGCATTGCTTTGTTCAAAATAATGCGCTCTATACCGGGTGTTACAAAAATACCCGTTATAGCTGAAGGGTGTTGAAGTATATCATATAAACAGTACTCTGCCAAATTTTCAAAACCTTTGCATTAACTTTTAACTTTCAGTAAAAAGACTAATTTTTAATAATTAATAAATACATCGAGTGTGCTATGTCACATCTCTATTTTAGGTTAATGACCTTACCAGGAGTAATGGCACACTACCTACCTCCTATGTTTTCTATTTTTTTTTCTATTCTCCTAGTACACACCCAACTAGCAAAAATATGTCGTATAGTAGTCGCGGCAACGAAAATTATTCAGCATTTTGGCTCCTAATAGAAGTCGTATAAACGTAATGAAAACGTTTATACAACGCGATTTGGGCCCATTTTATTCAGCAATTCAGTCACATAGACATCGTATAAAGGTAACTTATTCAGGTAAATCGTCACGTAATTATCGCCGGAGTGACTGTTACAAGCTTATGTTGCGCTATAACTGTAACTTATATGACTTTTATATGACATGTTTGTCTTATTGAAGCGACCTGGGATACAAAACAGCTGAAAACATTTTGACGTGTTGTGTTTTAAAAATTATAATTCATCGGTAAGTACAATTTATTTAGCAGACATGTTAATTTGTAGGTTGCACCAAATGTAGGTTCGTAAACTCACGCATAGGGTTGTAAAGTATTGCGAAGGTAAGTTTTCTGAGGAAATATACTAGGTTATATCATAAATATTTAACGCCCCCCTTTAATTCTTAGTAATATGAATATAATAACAAATATTTTTATATCAATATTATTTTTGTACACCACTTTTACTGCTGACAGGCGGTATAATAGCTTCTTATACAGCAAATTAGCAGTATGAGCGCCATGATTATAGTTTAGGGTTCCTTAGAACTTCCTAAAAGTTTTCTAAAAAAGACTTTTTGTTTGTTTTTCCATTTATTCCAGTCCATTTTCGATAACTGTAAACTACTCACAGCATTTTACACAAAACAATCTGATTGGTGTAATGGATACAATTATACGACATTTTAGGCTTGTAATAGTCGTATAAATGCGACGTATACTACATAATAGTAGTATAAAAGCAACAATGTTGCTTTTACTCGACTGAGTCAACCTTGCCATAAGAAAGCTATATAATATGCTTTTACTCGACGAAATAGTAACATAAGCGTCGTATACTAGCGACTTATTCAGCAAAATATTATATGACACTTAAGTCATATAAGGATGCTGACTAAACGTTTACTCAGCATCATTATGTGACCGAAATGCTGAATAACTCAAAAGCTATATAAGATGCTTTTATACGATACGTGCTGAATAATTCACACTTACTCGACTTTTATAACACCGAAAAGCTGAATAAACTTTACCTTATATGACTAATTTGCTAGTTGGGCACCCACACATACACACTAAGAATGAGAGAGAAAATATACTTAAAAACATGTCTGCGTTTGCCAGTTTACAAAGTAAATACTTAACCTATTTCGATCGAAAATAAAATGAAAAGAAAATAAATAGGAATCAAATCATTGGCAAAATGGTATGGTAACCGACGTTGTTCAGCTGGTAGTTTAATTTCAGTAAAATTTTATTTTATTATCAACACGCACATCATTTGATAGCATCGTTTTCGACTCAGCTGTTTCTGAATTACAGATCAAACACCATTTTAAGTAGTACCTATTTATGATAGTTAGGTAAAATTTATTTAAACACTGATATAGGAGTCTAACTTTTAGTTCATATTTTAATGGTCCGACAAATCTGATTGATATTACGATAATAAAAAAAATATGATATGCGACATAATTCACAAACGATTTTGGCGTATTTAAAAATAAATATTTGCGAATTACTATTTGTACTTTACCTTTTCATTTCCTTATTCACTGTTTAAGCATTACTTGTGAGGTTCACTCACCTACACTTTATTAGGCACTTAATTTTATTTCACAAGAAAAAAACTAAAGATCGCGGCCAACCTCTGGTTCACTGACGTTTCAGTATAATTGAATCGGTTATTTTGAAAAGGGCACAAGTCACACTTTTTGCAAAAACGAAATAAGTATGTAGGAGTATTTGTCTATGCTATTTGCACGTTTTCTCAGAAAAGGGCACTAGTACGCTTCGTTTTTACCAAGTTATGAGGTTTGAACATTTTGGTGTATTTTGAAAAAGGCATTAGTCCTGGACTAGTGCCTCTTTCATAACAAATGCCAGTTTTGACACATAACCTCAAAATGTACTAACGCTCATTTGCAAAAATGTCTTCCGATAATGAATGTGAAAATGTGCGAAATGATGCGAAAAAACGAAAGAAAGGTGTGAAAAATGAAGAAAACTACGTGCAAAATGTACGCAAAAGACAAAGAATAAGTGGAAGAGAGTACACAACACAGAAAAACAAACTTGTACAAGCAAAGACTATTGGCGAAAATTGCAGGTATTTTTCTATTCTAGTTCCATTATTTTGTTTTAATATCAGTAGAATCTAGCTGTTACTAATTTAATTTGTTTGTTATCTAGGTGTAAAAAGCAATGTTTCAATAAAACATCTGAAGACCAGCGACAAATGAATTTCGATAAACTTTACAGTATTGAATCGAAAAATGGACAAGACATTTTTTTACAATCCCTTATAAGTTGTACCGAGATCGAAAGGAGAAGGCCCAGAGTTGATGACGAACGTAGCAAGAGTAGGTTCGGAAGCTATACATACTATGTTGAAGTAAATAAAAAAACTCTTCAAGTTTGCAAAAAGGCTTTCATGTCTATATTTGCAGTGAGTGCAAAGAGGATTCGTAGATTATCATACTTAAAACAAATTGGAAAAGTACCTAAAGATGGGCGTGGAAAAGAGGTGACGTCCCGTCGGGCCATTGATGGAAACCTATGTTTGAAGATAAGAGAACACATTGAGTCATTTGATGTTAAATCTGTTCATTATGGCAATTCTGAAAAAAAGTATCTCAGTGCTTCTCTCGACATTAAACAAATGCACAAAATGTTTTTACAGAAAAATCCAGAATGTAACAGCATCACATACAGTTTCTACAGAAAATATTTCAAGGAAAACTTCTCGTTAAGCTTTGGAAGACCTCAAGTTGATACTTGCTCAAAATGTGAGGAATTGAATGCGAAGATTAAAAGTAATTTCTTATGTGAATCTGCAAAAAGAGTGGCTGTAGGAGAGCTTCTTGTGCACAAAACAAGAGCGAAAAAATTCTATAAAAAGATAGAGCAAGTGAAGAATGACATCAAAAATAAACAAAATGCTTTTGCTATATGTATAGACTATATGCAAAATCTTCCTCTACCTCACATTCCTGTTCAAGAAATATTTTATTACAGACAGCTTTGGGTCAATGAGTTTTGTGTTCATAATTTAAAAACAGACGCTGCTGTTTTTTACTCATACCATGAGGGCATAGCTAATAAGGGTCCAAATGAAGTATGTTCATTTTTACTTCATTATATGGAACATTTCATGCCATCTGCAGTTGACGAATTGCACATATTCTCAGACGGATGTGCTGGCCAAAATAAAAATAATACAGTAGTAAGATTTCTTATGGCTTTGACACAGACACATAGATTTCAAAAAATTTATCATTACTTTCCAACCAGGGGCCATTCTTTTCTGCCCTGCGACAGAGACTTTGGTCTTGTCAAAAGGAAGATAAAGAGATATGACAGAGTGTACACCCCAGAAGAATATGAAAATATTATAGTAGCAAGTTCATATTTCAGCAAAATATCAGTCTTTAAAGTCACTACTCAAATGGTCATTGACTTCAAAACGTGGTGGACCCGATTATATAAAAAAAACTGTATTTCCATACAATCATTAGGTAAAAAAGTGCCTAAAGATAAGAAAGTAAACTTTAATGTATCACTTTTCCAACAATTTTACTACGATTCCTCAAACCCAGGTGTAGTTCAAACAAGAGAATATATTGATGGCTTCTTAAAATTTGATTTCAAACTGGCGATTGGGCGGGAAAATGTTTTATTGCCCACAGCTCAAGCTTACGGTGATAAAGTTCCAATTAATATTAAAAAAATAGAGGATATTAAGAAAGTCATGAAACATATTTCCACAGAATTTTCGACTTTTTACAATGATATAATTAATTGGCCAGCTAAGTCATCTGAAACCCTTGAAGAAGATGTAGAATGAGTGTGTGAACATTACTGTGTTGATGAGCCAATAAAAATACCATTAATAAATGTAAAATTTTGCTTGTATTATTTACATTAACCGTTTAAATTTTGAAAAGGGCATTAGTCCAGGTCGGAAAATACCCATTATCTTGATAATTAATGGCGTATTTAGCTTACAAATCAATTAATTCAATGAGTTAAAAAGACATTGATCCACTAGATAAACATAAAATTATATGATCATACATTTTTTTTTCAGGGCACAGCTTTTTTTTGTCTCCTGTAAAATTTGCATTTGTGGACTTAGGCCCTTTTCAAAATAAGCGATTCAATTACATCTTTTCAAAATAGTCTCAATTTATATCAATACAACACTGCATCCGATGTAACACTGATAAAAGCACTTTTCATAGTACTCGGAATTAGAGAACACGGATATTTTCGAAACGTGATCACATCGACGACGTATGAACAACTGAATAAAGAAAAAGTGATAAAAAGGGAAAGCCGCCAATTGAGTCCTTTATTATAAGCCGCTGCATAGTGTGCGGCATGTCAAAGGCGCACAGAAAGGTACCTATAGTTCCGCAATTAAATCTGAGAAGTAGCGGGATAGGGTTGCCATCTTCTCATATTAGATCGGAAATTTGTCCTTAAAGCCGGACTAAGTCAAATCTCTCGCGAAGCCGTAAAACAATATTACCGTAGTAGACAGTAATATTAGTTCACGGCTTCGCGAGGGTTACTGCCTAGTTATTCAGAGGGTGCGGTAAGCAAAAATCACTAACTTTCAATTGATTTTGTAGTAAGACGTAACATACAAATAAGCGGTAATTAAAGATAAGATAACTACATCATAATTTTAACGCTTTTATCACAGCCAAAACGTGAATTCATAAAATAAGGCTTGATCGTAACATCAAAACTGCACAACCTATTTTGAAAACGGTTTTTTTTATAAAGTAATTTCGGAGACTATACGATGCAAACAAACTAAAGATTTATATTCAAATTTCGCAAATGCCCGTGCAACACTGCGTCTTTTTGGGTATTTGGGTATTTGACGTTTTTCGAATTTGTGTGTATTCATAGTTTATTTGATATAGCTTCGGCACAAGTATACTTACCAAAAACCTATGAAAACTATACCGCCGGACATGTGACATTAACATTTAGCTGCACACAATCTAAAAAGTCAAACATGTCCCGCTAAAGACGGATAGATGGCAACCCTAGACAGGCGGCAATGTTAAAGTTTGAGCCTAAACTTCTAGTTGCCTAGTACCGAGGTGATCAACATTTTATTGTACAAATTAAAAAAATCGTCGCAGGACATTGTTGCAACTAATTTTTTTACATACGTACGTAAGTACATAATACGTAACGTACATAACGTGAAACAGTTCACGTTATGTACAGTGGCGGTCTCACGTGCCTATCCACTTCAAAATCTCGTTCGCTTGGCACACACTTGATGCAATTTTAGGGGGCGGAGTTACGGGCGCATCTTCATTGGTCGTAGTATTTTACTATGACCAATCAGCATGGCTCTACGTATGCAACAAATACAATGAATGCAATAACAGTGTTGTTATTTTTTTAGTTTAGTCGCTTTTTGCATATTGCTAATTGTTGACGTGCTCACTCTGGATTTTCTTTTAACCTCCGCATTCTCATTGGACTGATACCTGTTAATACCTGACCACCGTGCTAGAAACTGGACTTTTGATTTGCTTAACGTGACCTTGGCTTGAATTTGGACCATGTCTTCGAGGAACCTCTCTATACAAGAGAGGAGTCGTACCGTCGCATTACGTGAAGATGGAATGAATATAAGCGAAATATCCAGAGAGCTGGGATTGACGGTAAGTGTAACATACTACTGCTTATTAATATACAAACTTATTGCAAATTAAATATTTAAATTATTATTGTTTACAATTTATAATTGTACTAGCTTTCCACCAGCGGCTTAGCCCGCGTGGTCTCCAGGAACCCCTTTTTTCGTGATAAAAAGTAGCCTACTTTCTCAAAGTTAACTCTGTACCAAATTTCATGAAAATAAGTTCGGTGGTTTAGACGTGAAAGCATAACAAACAGACAGAGTTACTTTTGCATTTATAATTTTAGTAGGGATTATAACATTATATCAGATCAAATGGAATTTTTACTTTCCTTAGAAATTAATGGAATTACGTTTTTCCTCTACATCTCTCTCATAAAGAGTAGGTAAGTAGTTTGAAGAGTTCCTCGATGATTAAATATTTATATTAGCTTACGATTATTATGCCAATACTGTTATAACTACCTCTAATATCATTCTCTACACTACTCATTTCTCATTTTTATTTCGTTTTGTTTTTAAGTAATTCCTTAGTGTCATGTGATCAAAGATTCCTATTTCACAAAAAGAATCAATAATAAAATTGTAAAAACATACAAAGTTCACTCAAAATTCAAGATGTTGCCAAACCGCTTCGTTTCTAGAACGCTGGCGCCGTGCCGTGTGAAAAAAAATTCAAACATAAAAACTCTTGTGGTTGCCGACAAAGACGAGGCGAAAATCAAAGACGCGCTCCTTGTTAGCTATCTCTTTTACTGTCATACAAACAATATTAGTTCATGGATATCAGTCGTAAGGTCGAATTTCGTTATTACTGTTCTGACACTGGCTATAGAAACTTGGCAACATCGTAAAAATAAAAGTAACATTTATTCTTAAAAAATGTATGAATTTGTTGAACTGGAACGATAGTTCTTTCAAACAAAATAATATGTTAACTCAGTTGATTTTAAACCATTTTTGGTTATAAGTATAATTAATTATAAGAATCACCTACCAAATAAGTTGATGAAAAAGATCAAATGCAATTATTACGTTCATTAATTTAATTTTTTAGGTAAGCAGAAACTTGAATTACTACTCGTTAATTTAATGATTTTTTTGAATATTTTCAATATTTGGTTTGAATATTAAGAATTCATTATAATATTTTTATTTTTGTATTTTACTGTGAAATTAATTGATCTTTATAATCTAATTGATAAATTGATCTTTAAATATTTTAATGCATTAGGCCCTGCATTTGCGTTATTTTCAGGTGCGCCTGCTAAATAAGCAATGAAATAAATTTATTAAAATAACGAATTAAAGTTAATGTGAAAATATATAAATAGCGTGATTTTTTTATTTTTGATTTTTTTTTATTAGGTTCTAATAGCAGAAGAGGCATCTAATAGAATAGTAAAGTAAAGTAGTAGTAACAAGCTTTACTTATAGACTGATACATAATTAATTGGATAACATTGTTTCAGCGACAGCAAAAAAGATATACTAATATAATGTGAAACGAAATAAAACTACTTTTGCCGGATAAAATGCGTTTATATGTGCAATGTTCATTTCATTTATTTTATACTCTAATTTACTTATTTTTCGTTAACTCAGTTATTATTGTCTGTGATTTTTTTATAAGTATCTAAATTTTTTTATAAGTTTATAAAGTCTATATAAATACACGCCCTTAAATACGTTCAAAAGTAAAATATAATAGATTGAAGTTTTATTTTAATAAATAATTTTGTTACAGCGACTTACTGTGCGCCTCTGGGTCAATCGTTTTGAAGAAGAAGGACACGTGGACGCTCGATCAAGACAACCCGAACATTCCTATTTAATATCGGCGAAGCAGTCTCAGCGAATGGTTAATCTTTACGCGACTGCGCCTTTTACTCTAATGCGAACATTCGCTGAAGAGTTTGACTGCTCCGTCCGTACTATACAGAGAACCCTCCATAGAGCAGGAGTTCATCACAGAAGACCCGCAAAAAATAATAATAATGAACGAACAAAACAAAATTGATAGAGTCTGATTTGCACGAGAGTACCGAGACTTTGATTTTTCACACGATATTTTTGCCGATGAAAAATGTTTTAAGACTTGCCAGTTAAGCAACGGCGGCGGCTTCTAAGAAAGCAAGTAATTTGCTTTCTTAGAAGCCGCCGCCGTTGTCGGAGTACGGCAATTCTCTTGCACAAACTTAACTTAATTTAATTTTAAGTCCTCCAAACGGCATTTTCAAATCTGTAAAAAACTAAGAGAACAAAAATAAACTTGCTATATTATTCTATAGGGGTATACATATTCAATTTTTTATCATGTAACTACAAAAAGCACTAAAAATACATTAAAAAAATCAAATTAAATTTATATATTTTAAGTTTATTATACTATGTCGGGTATTTTATAACTATTTTGCTAAGATATTAATTTGTTTATTAAAAGAGAGTAAATGAATAATTTTTAACGTTAAATTATGTTTTATTTGAACACCTGCCAACTAGAAAAATAATTACCATTGATATACTTATTTAGAATCACCACGAAAGAGAGAAATGATATGTATTTCATGAAAGTTGGTCCTGTTATCATATTTTTAACCAACTTCAAAAAAGAAGGAGGTTCTCAATTTAACTGTACTTTTTTTTCTTGTTTATTACCTCATAACTTTTGACTGGTGGACCGATTTTGATGATAATTATTTGAAAGCAAGTGTTTGCCGTGTGGTCCAGATCTGGCAATGGCATCTATGAGAAAACCGTATAAGTCTTAAATTTGCATTAAGTATGCGTGATGTGAATGCATGAAATAAAAACTTTAAAAAAATGGAACCGACTTCAAGCGGGCTGAGGTTTTCTGTAGTTAATTAAATATTAACCGCCCGACTTTAATGTTTCTTTAAAAATTAACCGTTTTTAAGATAAGTGTTATTTTTCACTTTTTTAAATTTGATGTCGGTTAAATTTTTTTAAACTTTTTACTTTCTTTTTGTCATAAGATCCTTGCTCAATTAAAGTTGTTATATTTAAAAAATATATATTTGCCAATATAATTTATAACAAATCAATCAAACGAAATTAATAACTTTCGGTTTCAAATATTAGATCATTATTTATTACACTAATGTTTATTACACTAACTACAGAACAGATTTTGATGAAATTTGGTATACAGGTAGGGTATTAGCTGACTTAGAATATAGGATACTTTTATCCTACTAAATAGTTC